AATAAGACAGTTTGACCCCTACTCTTACAGAGCTGAGTGTATTCTCCATGTGTGGTTATAAGTCAGTGAAGCAGTGACCAAACAGTCTGCTCTGGGCAGGAGACACAGTCTGGCTTCCCTAGGACTGCACCGAAAAAATCAAAGATCTTTCCAAAGTACCTAAGGAGGCCTCATGTCAGTGATAGACAAGAAGTTGAAGCTTTAGTAAATGTTGCAAAAATGAAAAATGAAAAAGTTTATGTAACTTATCTACATGGCCATGTTGCTCAGTGGCCAAGCTAGCAGATGTGAGGTTAGTCTCAGCTCTCTGACACCTAACGTTGGGAATTAAATAGCACAATGACAATGTCTTCATCCAAGTCCCTGGCATGGAGGCATTTGGTAGGAGAGAGATCACACATGGGAGCCAAGGGGTAAAGCTTGAGGCCCAAGGAAAAAGGACAACAGCTTATTATATTTTCTACTACCAACGAAGTTCACAGTGCTCTATGTCAGGACTGATTTGATTTTTATAGAAATTGGATTACTCATTTGAAGCCTTTATAAATTCCATTAAGATGTTTATAATATCTATGAAGTAAGGTTGTATTTTATATCTCTATATCTAAAATGTTACTTGTGACTCATTTCGCTGAACTTTCTATGGAACACTACGATTTTTATTAAGAACAAACAGCCAACACTTACAGAAACCAAGTTTCAATTATATAAAATAGTTCAGCATTCATAGGCAAGATGAGATATAATGTCAATTCTGGCCACGTAGTGGCTAGTCAATACATCCTTGTCCAGAACAAAATGTAGAAATAATGGCAACACAGCTCTGTCTTCCATGTGGATTTTTTGGAATGGCAACTGGATTCAGTCACTCTTTCAACAATATTCTAAAGTTAGAACCATAATTTCCATGACTCTGATATTTTACTGAGGTATCGAAACATTTATGCAGGCTAAGGAATGGTGTGCTAGTTGATGCTGATTGCCAGCTGGATAGGTGTAGATTCACTTAGGAGGCAAGCCTCCAGGCAGACCTGCAAGCTATTATTTAGATTCGGTTGACCTCTGGGCATACCTGTGAGGGATTATCTTAATTGGGTGACAAAATTCTCTAGGTTTGAGTCCTGTACTGCTTAAAAAGGAAAAGTTAGCTTAACATGAGCCCTGCCATTTGTTTCCTGACTGAAGACACTGTGTGACCAGTTACACCTCACGCTTGCTCTGACCTCTAGGACCTCCCAGCCGTGGGGACTGCATCCTTGAATTGTGAGCTAAAACAAAATGCACCCTCCTAAATTGCTTTTGTCAGAGTGTAGTTACTATAGCAACAGGAAAAGAACTAAGCCAGATGGGGTGTGGATGTTAGAATTGAAGAACCCGTCCCAGCTTTAGTCAGGGACGACAGTGAGAGAAAGAAAACTTACCTCACATCCTCATTTTGTTTCAAGCACTTGAAATCTGGGGTAGGGGAAACTTTGGGTAGACTCTACAAAAAAAAAAAAATTTAAAGGAAATCACTGCTCTGTCCATATCCTGTCATGATTGCCCGTGTCATCAATGGCCTGGACAATCAAGGTCTGCATGCTGACAAGGGAGAAGCAGTAACACAGAAGAATGCTCTAAGACTCTAGTTACAGCAAAAGTCATGATTTGGTAGGGAAACACTTTGAAGGAGATTCCAAGAGCTGCACCAGTTTAATATTTACAATGGGAATCTGGTGAAGCAAGAGGCTACTGATGAGTCCAGTGTTCGTACAGGATTCTCCAAGCAAAACAGAAGGGAATGATCCATGACAAATAATTTGTCTTATAACCAGGCAGGACCTTGTCCTCTTGGCTAGACCATGTGGATACAAATCACAATACAAGGTTCTCGGCGTATACCTGGAGGCTACACCCAGCAGGACTCATAGCTGCAGACTGACAGGAATAATGGCCTCTTAGGCTTACAGCCAGGCAAGTCAGGTCCATTCAATAACTAACTTACCCCATCATGAGAACACAGACCTTTGCCTATGGTAGAAAATCTAATTCCGGTAGTGAGTGTTCAGTTTTGACTCTGTGCTATTGGAGGCTAGCGGACAGTCTCCCTGCACCGAGCATGTGGTTCTGACTCTGTAGAGGTAGAATTGTCAAGTCATACATAATGCCACTGTATGTCTCTGTGTGTAACATGTGGGCATGTGTTTGGAGGACAACTGTGGCTGTTATTCAGGTGCCATCACTTCTTTTGGAAACAAGTTTCTCACTGGCCTGGCACTCACCATGTAAGTTATGTTGTCTGGCAGTGAACCCCAAAGACCAGCCACCTCTGCCTCCCCAGTACTGGAATAGCAAGAGTATAGGACCATGTCCAGCTTTTTTCTTTCGTGTATGAGGGTGTGTGGACTCAAGTACATAGGCTTGCAAGACAGGTACTTCTCTGACTGACCCACTTCCCCATCCCTAGAGTTCTACTCCAGTTTCCTGAGGCACCGTGATTCCGTCTTCTCTCCTCTGTCATGTCCCATGCCCTGGCTCTTCATGGACGCACAGCCACAGTATCATCCTAACATCACTTTGTTACTTCTGCCTTGCACAATCACAGAACTCTCAAAACTCCTTTCCTGTTCCAATCCACTGAGCACATTAAGGCTATATTAATTTTTCTTTAACTGCAGTTCTGATATAATTTCTTTGCTTAAAGGGGGTGAGGGGAAGGTAAGAAAAGAAGAGAAAACCCTTTGGTGGTTCCTACCTGTTGGAGCAGTAACTCGCCAAAACAGGCCAACAGGACTTCCCTCTGTCTTCCAAAACAGCATTACTCCAACCTCTCCTAGCCTCTTTTTTTTTCTGCTATGCCCTCTGCCTTCCTGTCTGTTGTAGTTCCACCAGCCAAAATACCTTCACCCCTTCGAACTGATCGCGCATGGAGCTTTCACTGCAGAGACAAAATGGCCCTTCAGAATTCAACTACCTATCAGTCCATGATTCATCTCTGTAGCTTCCATGCACCCAAGAAATCTGTCCTAAGACACATTCACCATATTCCCCATAAGGACATGGTGACTGTTTTCTTCCCAATCATACTGAAAAGCCCAAGGTCAGGTGTTCACTGTTGAAGGTGTCATATTTTCCTGACTTATGATGAGAGTCATCTATCTGTCTTAAAACTCTAAACCCTTAGAATTGAATCAGGTTCATAAATAGACTTTGGAGGTATCCTGGGAGTTCTTTATTATGGGTCTAAATTATTGAGTTTGTCTGTTTGTATTGATTAGACCACAGAGATAATACATAGATGGCTGTCCCCCTTAGGACAGTATAGAATCAGTAGGCATTATATTTCACATTGGAACTTTTGCAATTAACTCTTTTTTATTATAATTACTGACTTCCAAGTGCTCTGTCTGCGCTAGCATATGAATCATGATTACCTCACAGTGTGGGAGTCTCGTGGAAATAGATCCAAGGGATATTCATCATTAGGCAGAGTGTCAGGTATCAGTGAGAAGTTTATAACTTAGCTACTTTTTAATTGCTTTGTTTTATTTCCTCCTATTTGACAGAGTAAAAAAAATTGCTACTTTTGCCAAAGAGAAACAACTTAAAAAATAAGTTAAAATAGGAGCGAACTCTGCATGCATGGTGTAATTTAAAGTAAAATTATAACACATTATGAAACTCGAAAAGAGTTGCAGCTGTGGTTTGAAAACCTTAAATATATCATTGAAAAGAAAACTGACTAATAAACAATCTCCCCCACACTAGCAAATCAGTGTACATATGCAAATAAAATTAATTCATGTTGTAAAAGGTTAAAAAGAAATCCATAAAACATGTAGGAAGCTCCCGTTCTCCAGGATAGTTACAGGGGAGAGGCAGAGGGACGCCGACTCTGTTCAGTCAGGAAGATCAAGAGAAGATAAAATCAGGAAGCCAGAGTCTCAGAAGGCAGATGGGAGGCAAACCAGGAAGTAGAACCAAAACAAGCAATAAGGAGGCCACAGAAACTAGACAGGAAGACAGAGCAAGCCAGTTAAGAAAGGACACTAAGGAAAGGGATGAAGCCTGTGAGTTGAAGCTTCCAGCAATACCCACCATTGCTCACACTAACTTTGGATAAGTCTGGAAGCAACATTGCAAGTTAATCAAGCCAGCTGTATATACCTGACTTTTACTTCCAATCTGATTTAAGATTCTTGACTTTATAATCTAAATATGATCCCAGCACATATTTAAAACACCAAGGACTTGAGTATCTTAAAACACTTAGTGGGTGTGGAAGAAATGAAGAGTGTATGTTGCTCTTGCAGAAGACCAGAGCTCTGCTCCCTGGACCCACAGTTCCAGGGAATCTGACACCCTGGAAACCTGAACTCATATATGCACACATCCACACAGGCACACACACATACACACATCTTTCTAAAGTAAATCCTAAACAAGAAATTAAAAAATGAGCGAGATCGATATCTACTATTATTGTTTCATTTTGACTGATTGTTCTATGATTTCTAACCAGGGTCCTCGCATATTCTAATGCCTGGGACAGTCCCAGTGAGCATCCTTGGGCCAAGCATAGTTCTCACAGTCAGTCTCAAAACCTCCAAGACTGAGAACAGGACTTAGAAGAGAAATTGTATTACATGTCTATGTACTCGTCTAGTTTGTAGTGCCGTTAGAAAGCAGATCTTTATTTCTGTAGAATCCCTGCTTGTCAAGTTGTTTACTGACCCTTAAAAGAATATTATACATGTAACTTAGCTTTACAATAAGCTTTACATTTAGGTAAACAGATTTTAGTGAACTAGTAGCAAGGAGAGCTTCAGGTCATCCTTACTACATAGCAAGGTGAAGGCCAGCCTGGGCTAAAAAGATCCCGTCTCCAACAAAACAAGGACCAGCAAACAAAATAGATACCTCACATAAAGACTATGAATTAAGTCCCAATCTTTTCTAGCTTATATTTTCGTTAAAATTTTTCTGAACATTCATGCATTTACCTTTAGAATTGGGTTGCTCTCAGCCTCCATCAGAGAAGCTCCTTTTTGCAGTGGGCAGCAGTCTATGGAGGGATGCAGAGCTGGAAAGAGCACGGAGGATGAGAGACTGCGTTCTCGGCCCCCCCCCCATGTGACACCTTATTACCCCACCCGCCAGGGCTCAGGAAAGATTGTTTAAGGGGAACAGAAGGAACGTAGGAGCCAGAAGCTAGGGAGGAGCGCTGTGAATTGCTGTTCTCTGACCGTGGCAAGGCTATTGCATATGAATGCATGACTGTTGAAGTACCTGCCCAAGACCAGCGCAGGATCAAGCCAACCAAAATTCTGACGTAGATGAAAAATGTAATTTCCAGGCCCCACTCTTTTCTGAGGAGTTTTGAAATTGATAACTGCTAGGGTAAAGAGAATCATTCTTTATTGACAGAGTGGCCACTGATAGCCTTACCATGCTTCCATGAATGGTCCCATATCCATGTATATACGGGTAGCACTAATTGGACTTCCTATGTTACAAAATAAAGAGGAGGTTGAGAGAAGGGGGAAAAAGAGGAGGAGAGGAGGAGAAAGTAGGGAGGGGGATATGTTGGGAGCTATGGGGAAGAACTGGAGTATATGTGATCATTTTTCAACATATACATATAGGAAATTCTCAAAAACCATTTCTTTAAAAATTTCAAAAATGTTCATCTGAGGGAAGAAAAGAAGTATAAATAGTATAGATTTGTGTGTAGAAAATATGAGGGGATTCCATTTCACGGTGTCAGAAAGCTTTAAAAAACTCTAAATCTAAGGAAACAACAAAGTCTCTAATTTACAATTCAAATAAGTAAAAAAATCTATAAATTAAAAATAGCCAGAATACATTTAGCTTTAGTATCCTATGCCAAGGACCAAGGGATTGAAAGAACAAACCACGCTGAGCTAGAGAGTCTCGGTTTTAAAATTGAATCTCTAAAACACCAGCGCATGAAAACACCGTGTTCTCTTACGTGAAGCTCAGATGAGGCTCTTAGCAGCTTTTTGGGAGAAGCCGGCTAACCTGATGATGGTGATGGTGGTGATGTGGCTCCCAAGTGGACGGGGAGGACAGAAGAGGAAGGAAACATAAATGCATGGGAGACTGTGGTCCACAGTGTGGGTGATATCAACACTAAAAGAGCAGATTAATATGCCCACAGCATATTATCTAGAATCCACATGGTCACCACAGCCGGAAGGGGGCTGCACGTTCATAGAAAATATGACTGAGAGGGTCCCCAGGTTCTGAGAACAAGCCTTGGTAAAAGCTATCACAAATCACCTCCCCGGGTTTAGAAGACTAGTTTGGAGTCCATTTCCGTACATGTAACACCTGAGTCAGGAGACACACTGGTAGCTTTAAATTTTACCTCATGATATAATTGCAACATAAAAATAAATCTGCCAGACTGGCTCAGCAGAGCTCTTGTAATTGGAATGTTGCTGTGCAAAGAGTATTTTTATATATTTTGAATAGGTGTGCACATTCACTATTTCCATTAGCGTCTCTATGCCCCCTCCCCAAATTGAAAACAAATAAATATTTAAAATGTGATTTTCTTTAAATAAAAAAATCAGAACACCTACAGTTTCCTAGAAGGAGAAAACTGCCCCAGGTTCGAATGGAATATTTTTCCTGGCAGGCCAAACAATGCCCATTGCATTTTTCTGTGAGGAGCTGAATGCAGAATGCACAACTCAGAAAGAAGGTATTTGTTTAACTATAAAGAATCCACACCATTAATTGTATTTCTTGTCACAGCGTTTGCTTTTGACATCTGACTTCTGTGCACAGCTACTCCAAAAATATATAAGTTAAGAAAAAGCCAACAGGCTTACTTTTTTAACGCTGTGTTTTACAATACCTGTCTATTAAAGATTTTGTGCATCTTAACAGTTAATCTGTGCAGGTTGGGAACAGAGTCCCTTAGGTCAGTGGTTATCAACCTGTGGGCCATGACCTCTTTGGGGGCGGGTCAAATGACTCTTTCACAGGGGTTACATAAGATCATCAGAAAACACAGGTGCTTGCATTGTGATTCATATCACTAGCAAAATTACAGTCATGAAGTAGCAATGAAAATAATGTTATGATTGGAGGTCACAACATGAGCAACTATATGAAAGGGTAGCATTAGGAAGGCTGAGGACCACTGTGTTAGGGTATTGTAGTGGTTTCAGTAAGAATGCCCTTATAGGCTCATAGATTTGAATACTTGGTCACCCACCAGAGAGTGGCATTATTTGAAAAGATTAGGAGGTGTGTCCTGGTTGGAGGAAGCATGTCCCTGGGGTGGACTTTGAGGTTTCAAATAGCCCATGCCAAGCCCAGAGTCTCTCTCTTTCTGCTGCCTGTGGATCCAGATGGAGAACTCTCAGTTACTTCTCCAGCACCATGTGTGTCTATGTGCCACTAGCTCCTGCCAAGATTATTATGGACTAAACCTCTGAAACTAAGCCAGCTCCAGTGAAATTGTTTCTTTCATAAAAGTTGGTATGGTCATGGTGTCTCTTCCCAATAATAGAATAGTGACCAAGAGTGGTAGCTCTTCATTCCAGAAATTTTTACATAAATTACAATATATGTAAATGTAACTTTCCCTCCAACTTCCACACCTGCCATTGTTTGGATAAGGGCTGTGCCAAAATTTATTCATCTGTGTGTGTGTGTGTGTGTTTTTAATTCCCTAAAACAGCTCAAACAGTGAATCTTTATAATTAAGTTGAGTGCTCTCAGCCCAAACAGTGCCTTACACTTATTCCGGTTTCTGGTTCCTGTTCCTTGCAATGTTGGAGACACAGCGTGAGTGCCTTGGACATGTTGACTGTTTAACAGCCATTGTAACAGACAAAAGAGCCCATCCTCAGAACGGTGATTCCAGCAAATATAGGAATGGAAGGTGCTTTTCAACAGGGCAGAGAAGAGAACCACAGCACAGTAACACGATCTACTAAATTTCACTATAAAAACCATGATCTCTTTGAGGAATCTTGTACAGAGAATAGACCAGAAGTCTTAAAAGTAAGAACATGAGAACAGAGCATACGCAGAGCACTGTACTAGTCTAGAAACCTGCCTGTGTAGCCTGCTGTGTGTTCGGGTGCTCTAAGCTTGGAATCTACAAATGTGCCTGACAGCCCTCCTTCAGCAAACCTAAGGGCCCACACTCTATGGTCATTCTCTGCTCAGAGCAGCACAGTAACACCTCACCTAGCAGATGTTTTGATATAAAAGGCCTTAACAAAGGATACTGCTTGCCGGGGAAAATAAGAATAATTAATAGCTTTCATCTTTCAGCTCAGGAATCTCATCATAGCATGTCAGTGTGAGGGTATAGAACTAAAATATTACTCGCAGACCACGGTGTCAATGAAGTCCAATTTTCATTGACAAGAAAGTGCACGTATTTAGCTGGCAACTAAAGCAAAAGGTCCTGAGGGTCGATTACTGCTGTGTATACCACATAAATGAATGAAGTCATTAATTAACCTTTCAGAAATTTAGAATGATCAATTGGTAGTTGTTGGAAATAATTAACAGCACCAATCATGAAACGTGTTTGCTGTTGCATTGCTAGGCTAAAGATTCAACAGGCTAGTTCACATAAGCTCACAACATTCCTGGGAGGAAGCGCCATGAACAGCCCTAGAGAGATCACTGAGGCTCAGGGAGGGTCCCTTTCCCAGTCCCATCACATAGCCAGTACGAACTAAGTATGATCATAACTGCCCGTATCCGCGGCAAAGCCTGACCCGTGCTGTCTTCAGAACGAAGGAAAGATGAAAAATCAACGTTCCTTTGAGAAAAACAACCTCACAAAGTTTGCTGGAAAAATTCTGGACGTGTGCATGCCACTCCTTTCCACTCTGGTGCTTATATTCAATCTGTTTTCAGAGGAGAGAGCGGGGCGGGCACGTATTAATCACCTATACATCCATGACGCACTGGCTATCAGCAGCAAAGCGGTGGGAACCGAATACTGCTCAAGGGTTCTCCTAGGCAGTTGGTCGTGGTTAATGACACATGATGTCATGGAGTCAGTTTCATTCCACTTCCCCCATGATGCAGTGAAGGGTGAAGATACCAAATGCCCAAGCTGGGAGCCAGTCCAACTCAGTTCCTATTCTTTACAGTTTACAACATTATCCTAGCTTTTCCCAGTCTTGCTTTTTCTTCTTCAAAAAGGAAATGTAAAAACCACAATCCTGCCCACGAGGAGCTGTCTGTAAGAGGCTCCTCCAAGCTCCTCACATCATCCTGGTCACAGAACAGTTGTGGTAACAGGAAATGCTATATACAAAACCCTCAGGAGGGCAAGATTCTTAGCACCAGATAGCATTCTTGCGTTCAGTAGAAAAATCCTTCAAGAGTCTTTCAAAAGCAAATGCTGCTGCAACTACAAAAGCCCATCCAAGCAATTCTTCTAAGTTGTCAAAATATTGCATCAGAAACTCTCCAGAGCCTATTCAGGCTACCTAAGCCTAATGTCCCAGAAGCAGCAAGTGGTTTCTATAATGATATTGATTGAGAAGTAAGGTCCTTAACAGAGGTTCTCTGGAAGAGAGGAAACATTATTAAGAGACAGCAAGGATGTCCAGATTCATTGGCTGCTTCTGAATGGCAGCCCCAACCAGTGGCTAAAAGTGTCAGCAAGTCTGCCACAGCCAAGCTAAGGGAGGGTCAGCTTGTAGCCAGAAGCCAGTCCATAGCTGATAACATGGATGTCTGCAGTAGGCTTGCCATCATGGCCTGGGGTTACTGTGTGACTTTGTTTTATTGGAAAGAGGATGAATAATCTTTAACAAAACCAAATTTATTGACAACTGTAACTAACCTACAGAATATTCCATAAAAGGTCACTTCTTCCAGGCATGAGCATCATCTGTTGGTTTTCTCAGTTCCTCTTATAAATGAAATGTTATTTAAATGAATACTGTGTCACATGTTATCACCAAAAGTCACATGCTTTTACAAGCAATGTGTGATCTGTTCTTTCTTCTTTATTGGTCTCTTAATGACATTCTTTTGTGGAGACATTAACATTGAACTACATTGGAAACC